ACTAAATTACCCTTAGCAAAAAGTAGTATACTTGAACTAAATTCTACTAAGAATACTTAAGTATAAGTTTAGAAAGTATACCGAACAATGTACTTTTAGTGTACTTGAAGTATTACTAAAGTAATACTTCTTCGAACTAAATTGGGACATTTTTAAGTTTACTAAAGTATACTTAAAGTATACTTTAGTAAACAAAGAAGTAAACAATAGTATATGAAATATAGTTTAGAATAAGTAAACTCTAAGTGCACTGCCTGATTTTAATTATGAAATTAGTGCACTTTTAGTATACTTGAATAAACTACTTTTTGCTAAGGGTAGACTTTTATAAAGAAAATAGCATGAAACCTTTTTGTGTGTGTTATATTATTGTTAGATAGGTTACTGAAAATAATCAGGTTATTAAAACAAATGTTTACTGTTTATGTATTTAGGAGATTTTATCCAAAGTGACTTACAAAATAGGCTTTAGCGTAAAGGGTCTTACCTAAGGACCCACACTGGCATCTCATTCCCCCAGCAGGGAAACGGACCCAGGCTTCTCTTCTTGACATACCCCTCTCCGTTTATCTGGGATATGGACCAACACCAGCAGCACATTAAGACTGTGGACCCCTGGTGGCAGGATTATTATGTCAATGTGTGTTTGTGTGATGTGTAATGGAGGTAAGAGTAAATCTGTTATGGTTTTATTTTTTCATTTTTTTTTTTACAATTTTTGAAACACATTTTGTTTTGTTTTAATTTTATTGTAAATACATTTTTACATTTATCATAAATATATTTTTATATGAATAAAATTGAGTGAAAAAAAGAAGAAAAAGGAAGGGTGGGCAAGCCGGAGTGAGAACCCACAAAGGTATGGGAGAGTATGACAGCTCCATGCAGAAAGGTCTCCTTCTACAAGGGAACAGCAACTACTGTTCCATCATCCAGCCTCTCCAAGGTGAGATCAATACCAAGGTAGGAGTTTACCTCAGAAAAAGGCCCTGGTATGGAGGAAGTACTTTTTTATTTACAAGGAACCATAGAGTTTCGTGGAGAGGTGAGTGCTAAATAAAAAGGCTGGATTATGGATTCTGTGTTTGGGTTCTGGTTAGTCAAGGGTTAAAGGAAGAGTTTCGAAAGTTAAGGGTAATGGTTATGAGCGAACACCGAGGAAGGGGGCTAATGTAAAGCGTTTAGATTTGGGGTTCAGTAAATATTTTTGTCAGTTTGATGTTTTGGTTGGAGGACAGTTTCTTGAGGTTTACCAGATAGTATTTTTCTGACTAAAGGCTTTTTAAGAGGTTGACAATCTTTATTTTCCTGAAGATGTCTTTTTGGGTTTTCTTTCTTGCAATTTTTCAATCTCTGGTTGCAGATGTTTGAGCTCCACCATAAGGCTCTCTGTTGATGTTTTATTATCCTCCTCCATCTCTGTCAGAGCTTTCTTAGCATTTCAAACTGTATCTTGAAGGCAGGCCTTCTCTGCTACCTTTCACCATGCCGTGCCTCCTGAAGGTCTTTAATAGCTGCTTCCACTTGTCTAAGAGCTTTCTACTGCTCAGGAGACTGGACTTTTCCTGGGCCCAAAGCTGTTTGGTTCTTCACATCTTGCTGCATCTGCTAAGCCGACCTCAGTCTCCTTTGTTCTGGCTTTCTCTGAAAGCGGAGAAATTTCCAGTTCCATGGCTTTTCTTACAGAATCTTGATGTAATTGGTTGTTTTCCTGCTCTTTTAGTTGCAGAGAGACTTTTTCCTGTTCTAACTCAGCTTTCTCTAACTACAACCGCTTCTTCAGCTGCTCCACCTCATCTCTTTGTTGTTGGTTGGCCATAAGATGAGATATTTCCTGTTTCCACTGCTGCTGCTGTTTCTCTAAATCTCTCTCCATTTTGACCAAAACGGCCTTGAATCTATTGGTTTCCTGCACTTGTTTGGCTAAGCAGACCTCAGCCTCCTTTGCTTTTGCCGTCTCAGCAAGAACTGCCTTCATTTTCTGAGGCAAGACAGAGAGATTCTTAATTTGTTCTAATAATCTGGTGTTTTCTTGTTGAAGTGCTCTTCTGTGGAGTTATAGCAGAGCTCAGCTCCCTGTAGTGTTTTCGTTTCAGCAGCTAGCTCAGTCTCAAGCTTCCTAGCTTTCTCGTTGGCATGTTTTCGCACTATCTCAATTTTTTCCATCTGATCTCCTGATCTCTTGATCTTATGCAGACCACAGCCTCCTGCACTGTTAGTAGTTAGCACAGACCCCAGCTTCCTAGCTTTCTCACTGGCATATTTACACACTGCCTCCATTTTTCAAGCTCAACAGCATGTCTCTGCATGTTTTGTGATCATTTAATATTTTCATGTTGAAGTGCTGAGATCTTCTCATCTTTTGAGTTCAATTAGATTTCAGCTTGCTGGACCTTTTTTCTTTCAGCGGTTAGCTCAAACTCCAGCTGCCTAGCTTTCTCGTTGGTAACCTGACGTGCGGCATCCACTTTCTGAGGCACAGCAAAAATACTCTTGATGGTTTCTGATAACTTGATGTTTTCTTGTTGCAATGCTGTGATTGTCTCACCTTTTGAGCTTAAGTAGATCTCTGCCTCCTGCACCCTTTTCCTTTCCGCAGTAAGCTCAGACTCTAGATGTCTAGCTTTCTCGTTGGTATATCCAAACCCTGCATCAATCTTCTGAGGCACAGCATCAAAACTCTTCATGTTTCTGATAACTTGATGATTTCTTGTTGCAGTGATTTGATTTTCTAATCTTTTGAGCTTAAACAGAACTCAGCCTCTTGCACCTTTTTTTCCTTTAAGCAGTTAGCTCAGACTCAAGCTGCGTCACCTTCTCGTCGGTATGTTGACGAACTGCTTCTAATTTATAAAGCTCAGCAGAGAGGACGTTCATATGTTGGGATAATGTGATGTTGTCTTGTTGAAGAACGGCGATCATCCAGTCTCTGGTGCTTAAGGGGTTGTGAAACTCTATCTCAGAAATCATGATATTACCTCCTTTCTTTTTATTAGCTCTATGTCCCTTCACTATGTCTTATTTTGAAGTTGACAAGCAAACGCTACAAGAGGTAGAAAGAAATGAGATCACTTGGGCAAATTCACAAGAACACGAGTACAGACTTGTATACTCGCTAAGTATGTTCTTGAAAAAGACAGGAATGTATGGACTCTGGGAGAATTGAAGATTACAGCATAGATATTGGTCAATTGGAGCAGAAGTGTACTCGTGAATTCACCACATGCTCGGCTCGTCTGGAGCTGCATTTCACCTCCTGTTATTAATAGTCTCTAGATGATAATAACTTCTTGGGGACTAATAATTAAAACAATCAGATAAACACATATCAAATGAATGACCAACATTTCTAGAATAATGAAAACAAAAAAACAAAACAAAAAAACAATTTAGGACATTACCATATTCTCAGGACAATATGACACTACTTTTCTCCCACTCTTTGAACCATGGGGCTTTCTTTGGATTTTCCCTAATCACCAGAAGGGGAAGTCAAAGTTGGAAATAAATGAATAAGGGGCTAATTTTCATTTAGCACAAGAACACGCAAGTAGCAGTCATGACGGGGAACAAATGTCCTGAATTCACACATTTTGACAATTATTTGCCGCATTAAAGCTGCCGAACCAACGAAGAAAAAGATGTCGTGCCAAGGTATTTATCCCAGCCACAGTTTGTATCCCCTCGCCGGGAGCACTCACTCCTGCAGAGCTGAAATAAAGCGCCAACGAAGCCCTGTTTTGGACAGCTAAAATCCAGTGTTAAGTTTCCATGATCAGTAATGGAGCCTCCAGAAGAGGAGAACTATGTTCTTCTCTCTGCTGACAACCTTCACGGAGAAGCTGATTTAATTTTCCAACAGATCAAGATGCAGAAATCAAACCCAGAGGGGAGGAAGGCCGCTATTAAAACAACCAGACATTCCTTAACACCTCACCAGAGCCACAGGCTGATCACTATCATTGAGTAGATATTCATGCACATTTCTTCCAAACTACAGTAAGCATTGAATGCATTTACTTCTACAGCACATGATCGGTATACTTTTTTTTTTTTTTAACTCTCCTGACTAATGGCACCTTTTTTGCTTCC